CCCCCCCCCATTCTGTGCATGGCAGAGGTGGCTGCTGCTGTGGGCTGGGCTTTGCACCCTGAGCCCTACTGCAAATGCTCCCCGGCCTTCCATCCCTTCCCTCCCCCACCAGCTGACCTGCTGGGTTGTGCGGGGTGGGCATGCATGCATGTATGCGCACGCTCAGCTCCCCCCCAGCCCAGGATCAACTTCAAGAGACTCCGGGATCCACTTGACGTGGATTGATCGTGATCGACCAGTTGGTGACCACTGTGAATCTTCTAAATTTGTAACCCTGCTCCAGCGTTACATACCTGTACCTTTGCTTATTGGTGTAGTAGTCTATGGTGGAAGCCATATCTAAAATATCCTACAGTCACAAACAAATGATCAGAATCAAGAACACTGTGGCATCCTTAACTCAGAATTTCCTGATAGCTGTTGTGGCAGGATTTAGATATCTACAGGTGATGTCCAGTAATTTTCACAGCAACTGTTTTGTTGCCTAAAAGATAAATATACTCCAGGGCTTTCAAGTTGACATATTTCAGAAGCACCAAATCAATTCAGCAGTTTCTTCTGACTGTTGTCTCCTTTTCTTTGGGTTTCCATCCCTAGATCTCAGTTATCAATGCAGACTGGAAGCTTTAAGAGATATCAGATGTGGTTAAATATGGAGGTGCAGTTTCATCTACTGAATTAACTGGGAACCACCCCTAGGCAGGGCTGTTCCTGTGCAGAACTTGTATGGACAGTAGTGGCCCCAGTTGCCCAAACCTAAAGATGGGCATGAAGGCAATACTCTCTACAGTCAGGCCTGCCCACTGACCCTGCCAGAAAAAACATATGAACCCATTCTTGCCATCCACATTGGAGGTAGGAGAGGTCATATAAATCCCGTACGGTGTTAGACATGGAAATATCCATTCTCATTATCCAGTGTCTTATTTGGGGTCTGTAATCAAGCAGCCCACTTAGTTACAGGGACCTCACCTCCAACCCTTTGATCTCCCACAAACCACGCTTTCAAAGTTGCAACAGGTATACTGCAGACTATCAAACTGTATGTTTAGGACGGCAGAGGGAAGGTGGAAAAAATCCATGCAGCCACTTGCTATTTTTGTCATGAGGAAAAATATGCACTAAGAATTAACTTGGCGAATCAACATAGCACCTGCATCATAGGAAATCTGCATATCAAATAAGAGTGGGACATAGTGGGACTGCAAATGGAGTAGGAATGGCTATCTAATATCAACGGGCAGAAATAAATCTCACATCCCCTGCAGCTGATCGGTGGCAAAAGGAGAAGGCAGGAGAGTTGTAGACTAGTTCTTTATTCCTTTCTATCTTTAAAACATTTCTTTATTGGAGTAAGTATATATGAAGTATTGTACAGATTTCTTTGCATGTAGCAGGACTCTTCTTTTACAGTGATCTAGTCTTAACAGCCCTTTTTAGAGATTTCATAATTTCATTAGTATAAAAACAAATCTGAATTGAAGCATGGCAACACTGTAGCCTTAGTTTGGTCATAGGGGAAGGAAGGACTTATTTTTTTAACTTTTGAATTATATTTGGAAAAAAGAACCTGTTTGGATATTTTCAAATTGTAAGGCTCACTTAAAATAATAAAGATAAAAGTTATTTTGGGAACAGACAGTTGTTTTATTTATACAATGTAACTTGGTTTAGAATTTATAAAAACACGGTCTTGGCAGTGTATAATGAAATCCTTTTTTTACTGTATTTTAAGAAACTAGCTTGTGAAGTTTTAAAATTGGGTAATATAGATACATTTTATATAAATATTTCTAAGAATTTTTGCTACATTAAGTATGTGGCTTTTGAAGTGATTTTAATTTATGTGGCCAAAGACTGGCTACCAAAAATAGAAACTGTGTCTAAAGAGCCCTTCAGCCTAATGTAGTGACTCCAGTTTGAACGGAATATCCCAGGGGAGCTGTTAGTAGTATTACTGTTCTGATCTATGGCTATATTTGGTGCTTGCACAGGACAACAGAGTAAGAAGGAGCATTACTGTAGTGGGGCTAAAGACAAGCTATTTGGTGGATTGCTTTTTCCAGGCTCTTAAAAAAGAACAATTACTCTTTGTAGCTGCCACAATTTTGGCAAATAACAACCTTTAGTATCTTGGTAACCATCCCAAGTTTGTCTAGTTTGCCTTCTCACAACCATGAAGTACTACTTTCATATTTCTCTACTGCCGAAATTGTAACTGGTGGTATTTCAGTCATTTTCCACATTGATTCTTGAATGTGCTGTTTATCAAAACTTTTTTTGAGTTGTGCTCTCTTTTTTGGAAAATGCATAATTGGAACAGTTTAGAGGATCTTGGGTCTGAAATGTGCTAACATATTATACCTTTTTATTTGAAAAGTCTTTAGAATGTAGCTCTTAAGATTCATCAGTATGGTTCTGATCCTTTTCTACTGAAGTCAGTGGCAAAGCTTATGTTGACTTCAGTAGGGAGAATCATATTGCTCAAAGTACAATCATAATTCTTCTTTGGTGAGTTATCCCTTACTGAGGCATTAAAAATGTTCAGTTTTATAATGAAGTTTTTAAAAAAACTGAGACTGGTCAGAAATGATAAATAGGCATTTCTATAAAATACACTTAATATTCTTTTCTAAAGTATGTGGAATTTTGAAGGTTTTCTAATATTAATAAGTATTTGAATACATTCCTTAAATTTAAAATATTATTCTTTCATATTTCTGCCCTGTTGTTCTTAAGAACTCTTTTAAAAGCTTTTGTTTACTTCTCCCACACATTACACAAGAGGAGTTAATATTTTTTTGTTTCCTAATGTAGGATACAATAACTTACCAGCAAACTTGCCCTTTTCTTTTATGTGATTTTTATCTAAAGGCTCTACTGCCTGATTTTAAGCAGACGTGTATAGTAATGAGACTCTTTTATTATCTTGGTAGAGGCCTGAATAAAGGTCTCTGAGATCCATAGCAATTAAAAAGGCTATTAGAGAAATAACTGTCAGACTCTTAAGTTGTGGTTAGTTTGTATAGCAGTATCTTGTCCCTCATGCCCTGAATCAAGTTTACTGTTTTAAGGATTTTGTAAGACTGCATCTTTCCTCATGTTTCCTAGAATGAATTTGAAGACAAAGCAAATTTGGAGTCCAAGAATGGTATGACACAGGGAGACAAACTCCGTGCCTTAAAAAGTCGGAGACAGCCACGTTCTGCCACAACTGGGGCTCTTAGGTAATTTATAAACCTAAATTCCATCTCTACAAATAACCCCTACCTGATCCGTGAATAGTTAATGGAATGAGAGTCCTGAAGGCTATGAGGGATACGCAACTGGGGAAGCTCTTGAGAGGGTAGTATTATTAAATAAGAATAATTAAAAGTTGCTTTGTAAATTAATCACTCTTTCTGCAGTTGCAGCAATAAAAAGGTTTTTACTACATGTGGGCCATTGTTAGTTGTGCTAACACAGAAGGAATATAGCTGTCCACATTATATTCAGTTGGGTTTTTTATGACTTTTTTCCTATTTGTCACAAAAATAATCCTGTGGCACCAGGGGCTAAAGGGGAATTTGAATAATGGATCTCATACCTAAAAGTTTAGCTTTGTATTTAAAAAATGCATTTATTCAGCTTTTAAAAGGTCATATTTCAACAAGATATGTATTTGATTCCCATTTGAAATTCTTTATCAGTTTCCCATAATAAGCTTCATCTATCTTGAAAGTAAAAATAAGTGATATCTTTCAAGGAAAATGGCTCAAGAAAATGGACTTTGAAATGTAACATTTGTATTAAAAAGCAATGCAACACTGCATGATTTATATTGTGTGGTAACTGCACGTAACTAGAATGTTTGCTTCATGTTCGAGTCCTTGTCCATACTTTGCATTTCTTTTGGAGTACAAAAGATACAAAAAATACAAAATAAGTTAATATTGCTAGATAACCATAAATACCTTCCAAAGCAAAATCTTGTGAGGTATAACTCATATAACCATGATATATAGTTCCAGTTAAAATGCTATTGACAAACTGAAGACATGAATAGCACTTACAGCACTCAGAGGGCGTGTCTACACATCACTGTACAGTGACATTGCTACAACTCTGTGCTTTAGTGTGTAGCATGGTGTAGTATGGGCAGTTACTGCGCCATGCGCACGGAACACAGGTAGATTTTACCGCTACCTTGCCGTAGCAGCTCAATATACCAGGGGAGTGCAGTGCTATGGTGACATAGCTGGTGATCATGTGTAGACCCGCCCAACCACTACGTCGCTGTAGCGTACTGTATGGTGATATAGCACGTTGCTATGTTGCCATAGGGCGACATGTATATGTGCCCAGAATCAAACATAATACTCATATTTAACTTATCTTCTCCCCAGTTAATTTTCCACAGAAAAGAACATCCCGCCAACACTCACATGCTAGCTTTCAAGCTCCTCTACTAGTGGAGACGTAAATGGCTCTTGCATAGTAACACTGTGTCACTGTAATTTGTTTAAATAGTTATACAAAAAAATGCAGTCATTTTCTCATGATTTGATTTCTGTGTGAACAACTGTTTTGATTTCTCTAGGTTGGAAGATATGAAGTTACACACCAGATCAATATCACAGCCTTTCAGGTATTTAGTTAGCTAAACTCGTGTTTTTATTAGATTTTTAAAATGTCTGCTATTCTAGTCTTGTAGTGGTTTGTTTTTACTCATCATATCAAATGTTGTCATAACATTTTGTCAGACTTTGAGCTAATAACTAGGGGAGCCTGTTTTCAACAGTCATTCAAGAAAGATACATATAGAATTGATTAATTAACAGAGAAATTACAGCTGTATTTTGGAGACTCCTAAGTCATGATTATAAGTTAGTGTGATTTTTTTCCAGTCATATTTTCTAATTATAACAGTGCTGTTATGTACAATTAATTCATAACTATTGTTTGCCTTTTGTAGAAACAAAAAAATTACATCAGTTGGGTGACACTTGCTTTTGTTGAACTTTGTAAACTTTGTTCTGTATATACTATGCATACTAGCTATCATGAAGGGTAATGTAGGTATGCATTAGGGCTATGCGAAATTTCACCAGCCATTTCATTTCGGAGGTGTTTCGGCCCGTTTTGGCACCCAAAACACTGAATCCGAAGCAAAGCGGAAGGCTCCAAAACATCTCTGAAACTAAACAAAACCATCTGAAACGTTTTGGAACCATTTCAGATGTTTTGGAGGTGGGCTTGCGGGGAATCAGAAACTAAGAAGACGGAGGGGGGAAATGACTGCTCTGATATTGACATCCATAGTTGGCCAATGTCTGCAATCTGTCCCTGAGGTCCCTTCCAATCTCAATGCTCTGGGGAAGGGATGGCAGCCTGCTGTCATCCTGTGCGCAAATCCGGGGGCCCACATCCCCCAGGAAGAGTCTAGCACTGCTCTGCAGCCCTCCTTTTAAAGTGCCAGGAGGTTGGGGCCGGGCGGGGGATGGGGATGGGCAGGGTAGCCATGCAGGTTTCTTCTGTGACTCCCCCGACCAGGGCAGAGGCAGGCACAGCTGGAGGAGCCGCGGGAGAACCTGCAGCCACCCAGCTGTGCCTGCCTCTCCCCGGCTGATCCAAATCTCCGAAGCAGTGTTGAAACTCTGAAACAGATTTGGCCGAATAGAAATGGAACAGTGATCCAAAACAGTGAAACGAATCACTGTCCTCTGAAATGGCCAAAACTGAAATGAAACATAGCCATTTCGCACAGCCCTAGTATGCATGTGGTAAACTTTCCAACAGTTGTGCCAGTGAATTTCAGTTCCCTCTTGCAGTCTGCTTGGGAATCCTTCTCAAAAAAGGCCATTTACAGATGTTCATTTCTTCCAGTAAGAAGTTCTTAGCAGTAAAAAATAGCCTGGGAGCTGGAACATACATAGGTGGGCTCTCTAGCCAGGGGTGCTAGAGAGCTGCACCCTAGATCACTTCTGCCCTTTAGGGGAGCCCATTAATTAACAGCCTGTCAGGTGGTGCTGCAAAGATCAGCTGCCACAGACAGCCTTGAGAGAATGTCCCCCCACCCAATTTCTGCCAATCATCTAATTGGCAGGATTCGTAGATTCATAGATTCGTAGACATTAGGGCTGGAAGGGACCTCAGAAGATCATCGAGTCCAGCCCCCTGCCCTAGGGGCAGGAAGTCAGCAGGGATCATAGGATCCCAGCAAGATAAACATCCAAATGTCTCTTGAAGGTGTTCAAAGTAGGTGTTTGAACCACCTCCAGCGGCAGTCTAATTGTAAACCTTGGGGGCTCGGACAGTAAAGAAGTTCTTCCTTATGTCTAGCCTGAAACAGTCATGGAGGAGTTTGTGACCGTTCGACCTTGTCATCCCTTGGGGTGCTCTGGAGAACAGATGTTCCCTCAGATCCTGGTGAGCACCCCTGATAAACTTATAGGTGGCCACCAGATCACCCCTGAGCCTGCACTTTTCCAGGCTGAAGAGTCCCATGGCGCTCAGCCTCTCATCATAAGGTCTGTTTTCCTGACCTCTTATCATGCGCATGGCTCTCCTCTGGACTCTCTCAAGCTTCTCCACATACTTTTTGAATTGTGGAGTCCAAAACTGGATGCAGTATTCCAGCTACAGCCTCACCAAGGCTGAGTACAACAGGAGGATGACATCCTGGGATTTGCTTGAGAAGCATCTATGAATGCAAGCTAGCGTTTTGCTCACTTTACTAGCTGCAGAATTGGGGGAAGGGGAAGGGAACTATTCTCCTGTGGTGGGAACCCTCCCGGTTCCCACTGCAGGAGAATAGCCTCCACTCATTGCACTGCTCCAGGTTGACCTGGAGGTGTGTGGGGAGAGGGAGTAGTGCACCAACACCATAACAAGGCTGTACTGGGGCATGGCAGCCTGCCCTCCCCACACTGCTCTGAGCTAACCCTGGGGAGGTGGAGGCATTTTGCCATAGCAGCAAGGCAGCCTGCCTTGCCCTGCAGTGCTCCAGGCCAGCCTAGCCCAGAGTAGTGTGGAACAAGGCAGAGACATTTTGCCGCAACAGGAACCCAGTCCAGGGCTGGAGAAGGGGAGAGACCTGATCTGGGAGGTTCCTCTGCAGGAGAATTTCCCACCTCATCTGCCAATTAGCTGATTGGTGTGTGTGGGAGGGTACTTTTTCAGGGCAGGGTCCCCACAGGGCTCCCTGATGGCTAGCTCCTGGGCAGCTGAGTCAGTGCTCTTCCTCCCTCTCCCTTGGCTGGGAAGAGGGAGGGAAAGCAGAGGACTGTGGAATATTGGGTGTCCTCCTCATCCAAGAGAAGTGTACAGGCTTTCAATTTAGATTGAGAGGAGAAAAATCTTCCTCATAGATACCCAATCTAACTTCTTGTGGAAGAGCAGCTTCTCTTCTACAAGACATCTCTTGAATATTTGTACAGCTCAGTTTGTGCCAGAGAAAGGCTTTTCTCCTGGCACAAATGGAATGTCTCTGTACCTGGCCAAAGACTGCCAGTTGTGGTAAAAAGTATAGTAACTTTATGAAATTGATAAGGATTTGCTAAAGACTAGAAGAAAGCTATGAAATATATTTCAGTTATGTTTTGGACCATTTGTAAATCCTTTGTTATTGTCCCTTCAAATAATACATTTAGCAAGGAAAATGGCATTTAATATGAAGACCACAATGGCAATAATAGTACTTAAAAATGATAAATTCTAATCATTATCTCCAGCCTGTAGTTATTTCCAGAGTGCCTATTCTAGATATTCTGGTGATATTAAGTATTACTTTTAATACTATCTAAGCTGAAGTATTGTTTACAATTATTGCATTTGTGATTTTGAGAGTCATAGGGAGAGGACTAACCTCTGGGATTTCCATTTCCTCTTTCTTTTATTTATTTCTCTTGGAGATCCCTTGGCCTGATTTTAAAGCAGCTCCTACCCATCACCAAAACTGCCATGTTTTTAGTTGGAGATTTTTGAGAACAGAGACTACTTTAATTCCCCAGGAAAGCTGGTGGTGTTAGCCCCATCTCCTGGGAAGTAGAAAATGTAGGTGAAGGGTGTCCACCACGTGTATCACATCCATCTGTGTTTTTGAGTGAAAATGCTGTAAGTGCTGAACTGAAGGTGGTTAGTCAGTAGCAGGCATGGCCAGATCATGCCTATTGATATCAGGTTCTTGAAGGGGCTTAGGAATGGGGAGATTTAATTTAATTTGTGAATCACAAAAACACTTAGCACGAGAGAAGGACATAAATGCTCAACTTGGACATAATGGTATCAATAGCAGTGTAATGTACAGTAGCAGAACTCTAGGCATCTTAGTGACATTAATGAATGCATAGTTGTCTGGACTTTTATCTGCTTAAGCAGTTAAATGTAATTTTTTTGGAATGCTTTCTTGGTATTAGGTGCTTAAATTCTGCCTACATGCTTTTTTGGATGTGTCCCTAACGCTCCACTCCTAGAAAAGACTTTACCCCTGCTGTTAGATTAATATCTTGTCATTCAGAGATGAGTACATGCAGCAACAACTACGATCTGTGTCCTGAATACATAGCAGAATTTAAGAACAAAAATGCTTGATCAGCTATAGGTGTTCAATTCAAAATGGATGGGCTACTACCGTAAATCTGTATGATTTTTTTCCCCTTGGAAAGATGCCTGAATATTTAGCACCCAGTTCTGAAAGTTCTGGATCAGGTGTTTAAAACCAGCTTACTGTTTCTGAAGTTTAGGCCTGGGTGTTATGTCCTTACTTTTCATTAAAATTTTTCACTTTTTTAGATTGAATACTTCAGGTGGTACAGAAGGATCCATGTCTCCTTTGAAGTCCTCCAGAGTGACGGCAGCAATTTCACCCTCTGCAAAGAGAATAAATAGAAGCCCAACATCTTCAGGTTCTAATTTAAAAAGGTAAGTTTCCTTGTCCTGACATGACATGTAAGGGAGGGCCGTTGCCTTCTCTTAAAGTCACCTGATAAATTTTGAAACCTAATATGCATTTCATTCAGCTGTCACTTATGTCTGAGCTTATGTATACAATTGTAGGAACAGTCCCTATGCTTTCATATTTTATTAGGTACTGTTCAGCTCAAAAATGTTAAGTTGTAAACAGTATGCCCTTCTGACCCCTTGATTTGTTGCCATTAAGGGGAAATTTAGCTATTCCTATGACACTGTTAAATGGAACTTGGGATAATTTTGGATAAAACAAGACAAATTTTTATGTTAGTCAAAGTGCTCTAGAGTACTAAAGACACTATACTTTCTTACACAGGATGTTTATTACACAACTTTTTAGGTAATATATCTTGTCTTTTTGGTGCATAGAATTGATTTATGTTGTTAGGGAGAGAAAAGGAATGTGTGTGCCGTCATTGCTTACATACATCATAACAGTCCTTTGTCATTTTCCCCTAATGTCTTTAAATGTCTTGTGTGTGAAATCTTCACATATATATACATTCTGTGTATTTTCTTCCCACATGTGTTTTCCATTCAGCGTTTCCATAAACTCCAGACTAGCCAGTTCTCTAGGGAACCTGTGTGCTGCTTCAGATGATAAAGAGATCAAAATGACTTCATCATCTTCTAGGACAGGTTTTCCTGTAAACCATATCTCCAATCATTTGACTGGCAGCTTGCAGCTGCCTGCCAGAAATTACCGTGAGCTGAACAACAACCTGTACAACAGAAGCAGCAATAGTGGCACCAACCTCAACAGCCATCCCACTTCTCCCAGCACCGTGACAGATGAGTACAACATCTACCAACCCTCCTTTACGGGGCTTACAACTTCTCCAGCACGATACCTGAGTCGTTCAATTCCTGTAAGTTCACAGTCAAGCTTGCCCTCTCAGCGACCTGACAGAAGCTTTTCTATCTTCCTTCTTCATTCAAAGCTATCACAGCAAAACTTTTAACAATCCAGAGCAACTCTCTGATCCCTTCTTATCTTTGAATAGTTCTTCAAGCCTATAGCACCTTTGTCTCTTTACTCCTTCCTTTTTAGTAAATATTGTTTCACCTGTTTATTTTCTGCCTCTTCAGAGAATTTGGTTTATAGAAAGGTCTCGTGAAAGATCATGTAGGGAATAAAAACTTAATTTTAATACCTTTCATAACAGCTTTACAGACCTTTTTCCCTCTTCCAATTCAAATTATGAATCATATAATAAAACTTTTACAATTTGAATATTTTATGTAGTTTAGGATTTTCTTGGATTATTAGTGCTGTCGCGGTGCACCTCGCTGCCTCACTCCTAGAGAGGGGAAAACTGCCAGAGGAAAAGCTCTGGCAGTGCATAAGGAGCCCTAGCGGTGATTAGGGAGTACAGCTGTGGGTTGCCGGGGCAACTAAGGAGAGTCAGCTGCCGGTAGGAGGCAGGGCCTGGCCCTTATAAAGCCCAGGGCTGAAGCCAGGCTGGCAGTTCCCTGCCAGTGGCTAGAGAGGCAGGAGCTCTCTCAGCCATGATACGAAGCAGTGAGAGCTGCGAGTACTGCTTGACCAGAGTTACAGAAGGCAGCTTGGGAGGCTTGAGCTGTGGAGTTAAGTTATAGCCAGGCGGCTTCAATTTGTGTTACAGCCTAGGGGCTTGTGGTTTTGCTTTGGCATTGTTATTTATTAGACCGGTGGTTTGGGTGAGGCTATAGGGGTTGGAGGAGGCCTCACTGGGGACTCACAACAGAGGGTGAGGACCCCAGCGCCCGAGTGGGCGCAGCATACTCATAGGGACCCACAGTGGCGTGGGGGCCCTAGCGCCAGAGTGGGCGCAGCGTACTCAGGGGGAACCTACAGCAGTGGGTGGACCCTGGTGCCAGTGAGGGCGCAGCTTACGGGGTGCTTAGACCTCAGTCCCAGGAGGGGGTGTTGGAGAAGCCCATGTTGGGCACAACGAGCCCCAGGAAGGGGCAGCCTTTTTAAGAAGCCCCAGTGCGGGTGTTGAAGAGCCCTAGAGAGGGGCACTTCGGAGACGCCCCAGTGCAGGCGTAGCAAGCCCTAGAGAGGGGCAACTTTGAGAAGCCCAAGTTGGGCACAACGAGCCCCAGGAAGGGGCAGCCTTTTT